TTCACTTCCGCATTGCGTTGGCGGAAAGTCTTCGGGAATTTTCGAAGAATTGCGTCAGTGCAACACAGCATTCTGATTGGTAAATAACCAACTTGACCCATTAGGTCAAAGGATGCTGCTGCAGGTCAAATGCAAATGCATCATGGCGGAAAGTGATTTTCATCGAGAGTTTGCGTACGATCCAACACCTCCTTCGTCAGTGGAGATAATATGACAATTTTGACTTTGACTGTGTTCCAACAGACTCAAATGTTTTTAATTTCATAAATTCTGGTGGTACGTAATTAATATTGTAATAAAATGTGCATATTTTTTGTGATCATTTCTGTTTCTTCATTGTGAAAATCAATGACGACTCAACTAATTTCGTAATTTGGATTTCCCTCAAAGACGTAATCTGTCACTTGATGAATAATTTTTTTCATTTGCACTCTTTTTCGAGGGGGGTGCTCGCGTAAGCGCCCACCCCTAAAAAAAATCGTGATTTTCTGAGTTGAGGCCACTGGGCGCTAACGCGATCGAGTACGGTATATGACACAGCCTTCAACTTTTGAGTGACAATAATATTTAACTATGCCTTTATAATTATAAACAAAACAAGGACAGATGATTAGAATTATCAGCAACGATTGTATGAGAAATATTCAGGTGCTGGCAGGATACCTATAATAAATTGTTTTTAGTTATTGTAGTTTTTTCTATGTAGCAAGGACATTGTATATTCACTTCTATATGCTGTATGCTGCCCTCTGGTGTATATTCATATCTAGTCGAGGCAGGACAGTGTTCTCTGTGCATAAATGGAATTTTTATGTAGAGGTCCGCAAATCAAAATTGAGACAGTTGGCTATCATTAAAACATAGACAAATTTTACCACATTACATCAATCAGAATTGTTGAGTGATGATTACATATACTGTAAAATAATTTATTTTAGCTGGATTTAATTTTCGCTGAAAAAACTTTTTAGGTATGAAATTTATTTTCACTGATTTATGACGAGTTGATTGTAAAATATAGGAAAAAAAGTATATTGGCTGGATTTTATTTTCACTTAATCATTCCTTAAACGAAAGTAGTGAAAATAAAGTATTTTACAGTATATACAAAT